ACTTTGTCTTCACCGATCGTACCTGGAAGGTGAGCATCATGGAATGCCAATTTAATAGAACAAAGAATGTGTTCTTGCATTGATGGAGTACTTGAGTAGAGGCCCAATGTCCATCTGCTACCTTAATACTAAACCTATAAATATATGCACATAGATATATGTCCTCATCATCATATATAGATATATTTACATATGTACATGCCTGTATTTAGACCTCTGTAAATGCCCTTTGCCTCCTATTTCTTTCCTCTATTTCCTTTTACTTTCCTCTTGTCCCACTATCTTGCTCAGCCTTCATTTTGTTTGGGGTTTCAGTAATTTCTCTCGGTTACATTGCCCTTGATCAAGCATTACCAGGCTTCTTACACCCTCCTTGCCATCCATTTTGGATCATTTGTTGTTCCTTTGTCCCTGGGTTTGTTAACACCCACTTCCTCACCACCCCCCCCCTCTCCCATGTCCCACCAGAACCATCGGTCCAGTTGTTTTCTCCTCCAGATTGCTTATCCCATCTATCTTATCTAGATAAACCTGCAGAGATAATAATATGCACAAAAGACAAGACAGAGCAAAATAAAGCAACCAAAGAAAAGAAAACAACAACAGCAACAAACCAATGACAAAAAAGAGAAAAGCCTGTAAAATAGTTCAAGGTCTGTTTGTTGACCTTTAGGAGTGTTTTCTGGTTGAGTCTGATGGAGTGCCACACCCTGGCCACAAAGTCTAATTTTGGTATTCCCTTGGGATTTCATTGCCTTGCTCCCCTTGCTGCTCTGTCGCATGCGCTTACTGATTCACCCTGGTATGGTAGGGTCAGATCAAGCACAATTCATGCATCGTGTTTCCATTGCTGCCCCCTTAGCACTATGGGTCAGTGAAGGATGTCTTGTCTCATGGCAGGGCCAGCCCTATGGTCCTCTCTCTGCATTGGCTGCTCTGAGCAGGGATATCATCCTTGGGGCTTGGTGGGACCTCAGTCCAATTTACACTCAATCTATTTCCACCCAGATCCCCAGTCAAGAATCTATTTCTGTTTCAAATTTTTTTATTAATTAATGTCTCACATATTTCAGCAGTTATCATTGGGTTTCTTCTTCTCAGTCTTCTTTATTAACTCCTTTTAATCTCTCTAATCTTTGACATTCAGAGTGTCTTTCTGATTTTTCTAACTACATTCATGACCTAGTTATCTTATTGATCTTGTATCATAAAATATTCTGTTTTTGAGTACACTAAAATGCGCATCTCCAGCATTATTATTCCTCTAGACCAGTGCTTCTCCACCTTCCTCATGCCGCAACCCTTTCATACAGTTCCTCATGTTGTGGTGACCCCCAACTATAAAATGATTTTTATTGCTACTTCATAACTGTCATTTTGCTACTGTTATGAATCATCATGTAACTATCTGATATGCAGGATGTATTTTCATTATTACAAATTGAACAGAATTTAAACATAGTGATTAATTACAAAAACAATGTCATTATATATTGTGAAATATTTATTTCTAATGACAAAGAAATGAAATTTTGTCTTGAGGCATGGTGTAGCATGGGTAAGAGTCTTCACCCCTGGTACTCCTATGTGGATATATCTACATGTGAGTGGACCCGCCTGGAGACGGATAGAGGAGTGGTGTCTCGGTTCCTAAGACCATCAGAAATAAGTGTTTTCTGATGGTTTTAGGACACCCCTGTGAAAGGGTCATTGGACCCCCGAAGGGGTTGCCACTCACAGGTTGAGAACCACTGCTGTAGACCAACCTACCATCACTTCTTATCTTAATGACTGAATAGCTTTCTAAGCCATCTCTCTTGTTTTTTCTAATTTATTCCTACATATTATTCTCAACACAGTGTTCCATTAGATACTATTATATCGGTCCAATCCTGTAATTTATTTTTCAAAACCTTGTAATGGCTTTATCTTTTATTAAAACTAAAATTTACTTACTGTATACGTTATGCTGACTCATGATAAGCCCATTTGTGCCAGGGAACTATGCTTCATAAAGTTCCGTTGCTTCTTCTTTTTTCTTTTTCAAACTCACAAGTGGGTAGTTAGGCCTTGCTTCCAAGGAGCTTCTAGTTTAATCTAACAACCAACCTTCCAACTAGCAACTGGGATGTAAAGAGTTGCACTACTCTTAATCACTTCACTCCAGCTGCACTGGCCCTAGTTGTTTCTTGCATACACAGAACACATTCCTGGCCCAGGAACTTTTCATTTTCGTTGAATTCCGCTGCATGGAATAGGTCTCTGTAGATTTAACTATCCTGAATTTCAAATAAAGGAAAAAGTATCAAAAAGACTTCCCCACCAAACCCAACAATAACAAAGTAAGCGATAAAAACTTCAATTGAAAAGAATACCGAAACCATTGAAAATTAGAACTAGGTCAATAGGAGATTGAATGACAAGGTGTTATATTTTAACAGAAATACATCTGTAAAAATCTAAATTCCAATACATACAGCCTAATAGCAAAGCTATTCACTTTCTAGGTCTATGGGCAGAGGAGATTCACGAGAGGCATAAGCCACGTGGGGTCCATGCAATGGATTTTAGGCTTTTAATGTCATCATTTGCCTTCAGAAAACTGGATGCTTAGAATTTAAACTGTAATAACATTCCCTCCTCTGGTCTTAGATTTTATCATTTACAATCCTTGTGTTACACAAACGCTGTACTTCTTCCATGTGGCCGTAACTAACATCTAATTTAGATGGCCCCAACACAAGTCTTTAAGGTTGTTCCAGATAGCCGGGCACCATGTGATTTCTTCATCACACTTTGCTCTACCAACCTTATCGTTACTCATTTCTTCCCGAGGGGAAGTATCCAGTAGAGCCATGTCATAAGAAATAATTGTTCTTAGATTACAGCTATGATTAAGTGTGAACTCAGAATCCATTCATACATCTTTGGTTTAAATATGCCTTGTGTTCACTTTTTCACAAGGCTTTTGATTTCTGATTCAAAATGGCTAGTATCAGCCCATCTTAGCTCACTAATGCCTAGGATATCTGTCTGCATGCTTTCTCTTTCATTTTTGTGACTTCTAATTTTCCTAGATTCATACTTTGCACTTCAAATTCCAATCATTAGCAGGTTTTTGCAGTTGTTTTTCTTTATCTTGAGTCCTGTCCTCTCACTAACCGAAGGTCCCAATGTCTGCACTTCCACAGGCTTTAACTGATTCAGCCATCATCGTGGATTCTACTCTGAGAAGCCAGCTCCTCCACATCTAAGTCTGCATGCCCTCCGATCCAAGGGCCAGGCCTCCCACAAGATCTCTAGGGATGTTCTGCTTTCATTCATTAGGCTTTCAGTCCCTGACCATGTTTCAAAGCTACACATAAGACTTTCAATGGCTCCTTCCTCTGAAATGGGGAACCAAGTTATTCTTCTATTCTTAGTCTACTCATAGTCTGGAAGCTCCACTGAAGCCTGTTCACCTAGGGTGAGCTGGCAGGCATTTAAAAGACCTGAGATAAAGCTTCCAGTATAGCAGTATGGCACTGATAGACAGGTCTTTAATCCATATTGAGTTCATTTTTGTGCATTTTATATTGAATATAAAATATTAAATATACACAGCTTTCCATGAAATCAGCAAGCAATGTGCTCAAGCTCAGAGGGTCAAACATCTTTTTCTTCATCTAGTTGAGGTCATATCAACTCTGTCATAGTTATTCCAAGGTAGCACAATTGTTGCATCGCGAGTTCCCCACTAGCCGGACGCCCCCTGCTTCAGACCACTTCATAAATTTTCAATCACCCTTGCCCTCTCAAGTTCATCATGCCGTAAGCTCAGGTTCCACACAATTCTTAAACTTCAGGCCAACCGGCCTGCTCTCATCCATTCATCCAATCCCTGTGAACCAGGTCCATAGCTATCAGTGAGTGGATTCAACCCTATCGTTCAACTGTTGCTATGTTTCCCCCACTTACGTTCAACAAGTAAATCCAGGTGATCACCTAGCGAGCATCCCAGTTTTCCCACGGGCTCCCTTGAACTTTCAGTCCTTGAGGAGGGTAATGATGGACACAGATTTTTCCTCTCCTAAGCTAAACCACAGCAAAGTTCTTGCTCAAAATTCAAAAACCCAAGTCAGATTTTTGTTGTCGTTGTTCAGTATCCCAGCAGTTATATTTGTGCAGTATTTCAAATGCAAATGCCCCGGCACTCAGGGGCGCTCAGTGGAATTTACCTCTATGAAGTCCTTCACCTTATCTTGGAGCTTTGGAGCCTTGTGCTGGTTCCAGGCTGGGCTGCTAACTCTAAGCTCCACAGCTGAGGGAGTGGTCTAAAGCACTTTCTTTTCGATGGGTAGAAGCATTGCCTGGGCAGTAAGAACAGCTTCACTCACCTGCCCATTCAGTCTGTTGTTCACGCTGGGCCCCCAGGGGCCTGGGAAGCAAGAGGTTGCTTGAAATGGGGACAGGGAAGCATTGACTTGTACAGGGGTTGTTGAGTATTGCACACAATGACTCAGGCCACAGGTCACTGGTGGAAGGGAGTCAGTAAAAATCAGCAGGCATACCTAATCTTCAACTTAAAACAAACTTTGGTGTACTTAGCTTTTAAGTAGATTTTCTGGCTTCCAAGGAGTGAAGGATTTCTCTCATTGGTGAGACTTCTGTCCTTGGTGGTAGTTGCTAAGGTGCTAAGGTGCTAAGGCAGTGGTTCATTCAACCCCTTTGAGGTTGAATGACCCTATCACAGGGGTTGCCCAATTCATAACAGTAGCAAAATTATACTTATGAAGTAGCAACAAAAATAATTTTATGGTAGAGGGGTCACCACAGGTGAGGAACTGTATTAAAGGGTTGTGGTATTAGGATGGTTGAGAACCACTGTGCAAAGGAGATCTACCTGTGCTGTTTATCTGGCAGCCATATTCTCCAGTCATATATACATATATAAATATAATTTTTAATGTTTACATCATATTGAATTCACAACTCAAACTTTTTATGTTTGTTTTTCTTAGCTCATTCTTATCCCAGAATTTTTTGATTTATACATATAATGAAAGTGGCTTTTTGCATTCTGAATCTTCATATTTAAAGGTAAGACCCTGATACCATCGATTTTATTCTCATATTCTCTATGGAAAAGAATGTATCACTAGCATTAGCATATATTTGTTCCATGTTGACCCTTGAATACATATATATATATTATTTTAATTTTGCTTTACTGGGGGCTCTTACAGCTCTTATCACAATCCATACATATATCCATTTTGTCAAATACATCTGTACATATGTTGTCATCATCTTTTTCAAAACATTTTCTTCCTAAGCCCCTGGCATCAGCTCCTCATTTTTTCCCTCTCCCTCCCTCCCCCATGCCCCCTTGATAATTTAGAAATTATTCTTTTTTTTTATGGCCACAAGGAAGAGAAGAGTCAGTCAGGGTGTGATGAAGCACACAACCTTCCTCTAGTTCTTTAATGCTTCCTTCCCCCACTACCATGACTCCAATTCTATCTTACAAATCTGGCTAGATCAGAGCATGTACACTGGTATAGATAAGAGCTCGCAACACAGTGAATCCAGAACAGATAAACCACTCAGTACCAATTAGGGGAGCAGTGATACTAGAAAGGTAAGGGTGGGGGGAACAAGGGGGAATTGATAAAAATGATTGATGTATGGCTCCCATCCCAGGGGGACAGACTGCAGAAAAGTGGATGAAATGAGACAGCAGTCAGTGTAGGACATGAATACAAATATTTTCATCCAAATTACTCTAGCCCCTTTATAGGTTCATTGCTATACATAGAAATAACACTGTTATTGCAGTGCATTAAACTTTTCCAGTGGTTTAAACCCACCAGATGTTCTGTAGGAGAAAGATGAAGATGTCTGCTTCTATAAAGATTTACAGACTCAGAAACCCTAAGGAGAAATTCTACTCTGTCCTATAGGATCACCATGAGTCAAAATAATTTTGATGGCAATGGGTTTTGGTGTGTTTGTACATAGAAATGACATTAGCATAGATGTAACCAAGATTTAAATAATTTTTTCAAGCTCTTAGATGATACAGTAAAGTTGTGAAAAAAATCCCTTTTTTCTGAAAATCTGTGTTAAAAATTCTGTATGAGATGGACATTGGGCCTCCACTGAAGCACTTACTCATTGCAAGAACACATTGTTCTTTTAAATTGGCATTCCAGGATGCACACCTTCCTGAATCGATTG